CACTCTAATGAGTGATGGAAAAGGCAGATATTTTCAGTAGGTGTTTCCATGATAAGTTTAACAATGTTTGCTGACAAGACCTAGAATTCTTACTGGGCAGATACCTTAAAAAAGATTGAAATACTGTTCCTGTTACTTAAGTCAACCACTTTAAAGCAAAACACAGTCACAATTCCTTGTATTTTAGAGTTTCAGGACCATCACAAATTTAGCTTGAAGCCAAATGAGTTGCGATAGTAGCACAGTAGTACCTTCTATTGGAAGACTCTTAAAAAAATCTAGTTGAGGTGATATGGAAGATCTGTGATATGAAAATCTACCATTTAAAGCTTCCTGATGAAAGCTCTTTGTTATTTTTCTGAGTAACATTCCATGATCTAGTGTAATGGTAAGTGCTTTATCCTGATGCAGGCTGGGGATGAAGCACAGCATTCCTCAGAATGCTTTCTCTGTTCCCTGACGAAAGGCTGCATCTCGGGGGTGTAATTGACCCTTAATTTCAACCGTATCGCTTGGGCAATTCCCCGATTAAATCAAGGTTAAAAAAGTAAGGTTAGCAATTACTTACTGTTTTTTCTTTTTTTATTAGAAACCATTCAATATAAATTGAATTACAGGCAAATTATGTTTATTTATATCCATGTTCTACACAAGATATGCATATTATGTTGATTATCATGCACGTTAGGTGTGCATGTCCAACTTATTGTAAAATTCAATGTTCTGTCATAAAATTTAATTCCAACATAGCGTTATGCAAATGTTGGTATATTTGTTCTTGTATTATTTTGTGTTAAGAGATTGGTGAGCTGGAGGCAGTAATGTTGAATGACTGTCTGCCATCTTCATGCCTTCATTATGTGGAGCAACATAGTGTAAAACTGTGCCAAAGAAGGCAACATGGAAAACCGGAATAGGGTGATGATTTTTCATTCCCTTTTCCCCTTAAAAAGTGAGAATTGAATGCTTTTTCTGTAAAGGGAAAGATCATCTACTTAGAAAGTCTGAGTGGAAAGAGACACAAATGTCTACAAATGAGACCATGCTTTAACAACCTGATGCTTACTTTAACATTATATCTGTGGTTATTGGTCTCATCTTTCAGAAGGGTATTTTGTCATATTCTGGACTTAGTTCAGAAGATGTTTCATTAAAATGCTCTTTCCATCAAAAGAGATTATTTTTAGCGGTGACAGAAAATAAGGTAACTTGCCTGTGAAAAATAGGCTGAGGAAGTAGGATGAGAGTGTTTTAAGTTAAGGAATTGCATCTTTCTTCAGTCAACAAAAGTGAATGAATATGACGGACTTCACTTTGCCTTCTAGCAGGTATCCTCTGCTTAGTGTAATATTTTGTCAAGTCCTATCTTCTGAAAAAGAATTAAAATCTTGCTCTTAATGAAATGGTACATTTTGTTGTAGAGTTCTGTCTCTTACTGTGGCACCTTATAGAGTTGTCCTATTATTTGTGTAACCTGGGAATTCAAAGGAGTAAAGTATGGAAGAAGCAGGGTAATTTTTGTGTGTTCCAAGGCTCACTGATCCTTAAAGAAGAGAAGAATCTGCCTTTCCATGTGTCTTTATAGATTAATAATGCTTTAATAAAAAAAAATCAGTTGTTTTGTACTGAGTTTTAATTATTTTAAAGATATTATATATTATATGCAAACCATATATGTATCTAAAACAAAGCCTGTCTTGAACTAAAGCTGCTACTGCACAAATCTTATTGCTGAACGTGCAATTGAAGGTCTTTAGAGTAAAAGAAAAAACAAAATTTGGCATAATTTGAACTGTGTTTCAGGTTATAGCTTAAAAATAATCTTCTAAGTATTAATTAATCAGGCTTTTGAAGTTCTAGTATCCTGTAGGAGCAAAGGGATTTATACAGCTTTTTGTTCAGTTTCTTAAGTGAAGACATACTCAATAAGACAGTAGGACATCAATTTACACAAAGTGCAATATGAACAACTGTTGGAGTAACATAATCTATCCATTAAGTGAAAGGACTAGATCCGAGAGGGTGCTGCAGTATCTACAGTCTTCCTGATTCCACGTAATCAGATTTGACTCTGTTTATGCAGAGAGTAAACTGACTTCTGTTTCATTTTTTCAAGACAGGCATTTCTCTATCACTTCATCAGATTAAAATGATGAGATGGCAACCTTTCTGAATGCAGGATGGTTCTGTCCACTTAGAGCTAAGAATCATGACTAGTGACATGTGAGAAACATGTTGATTTTGTTTTGACAGCCTCGAGGCCGGTGGACCATAAGCTATGTACAGGACCTCTTCCCAGCACCTCCCAGCTGTGCCATATCCCCTGTCCTACAGAGTGTGAGACCTCAGCATGGTCAGCCTGGGGACCATGCACCTATGAAAGCTGTGACGACCCTCAGGCCAAGAAGGGTATGTAAAATTTCAGTGAAACCTTTTAATGGTGATTATTTCATATTCCTAAGTCACTAGGCTCCTCTGGCTATGCAAGCATACTAAATTTTGTACCAAGAAGGGTATATCCAGTGCCTCTGAGCATCAAAAATGGTCATTGAATTAGGACTGTATTTAGCATTACTGCTCCACCAGAGCTGGCAAAAATGTAGGATGTTTACCAGGCTCTCAAGGTCAATTTGTGTTATTACAGGTCAATTCTAGTTTCAAACCTTCCTCTCAAACTAAAAGGGATACAGTTTGTATATGTGTTGTAATCACATTTCTGTCACTGTCTCGAAAGGAGGACAGAAGCAGCCTTTGAGGTGCGTAGTGTCCAAGTCACTCAAAGATTTATAGTTGAGTAATAGCTTAAGAATTCACCAGTAGACTGTAAAGCATACTGTGGCAAAGAGCTGGGACCATTTGCTGTTGATAAGTGAACCTGTTTTACTGATGACATATGTGCTGGTTTCAATTTTCACGTCTTACAGTTTATTCCTATGCAGAACAGGCTGTAGTAACCTGATATCAAAATAGGAAAGCAAGAATACCATGACAAGGACCTCATGTAAGAAGTCTGCAAGTTTCTGGCTGTAAATGAGAAAACTGACCTAGTCATTGCTGTGATGTGATTATCTGACAAAAGTTGAGAATACAGACTTGGTTCCTTAATTGAAAACACTCATAGGAAAGAACAGCTATATACATCCACTTGAAGCAGCAACTGTAATTGCCACATTAGCTTATCTTCTTCCTGATACACTGCTAGCTACACTTCAGTCTGGGCAGCAATAATGCAAGTTTTACAATGCTGTCTCCCAGTAATATGACCCAACCTTGATCAATTCAAGAAGGAAAAAGCAGTTCAGTGTGTCAGCCTGTTGGATTAAGTCTCCTCTGAGTACAGCTGTCAAGTAGTCTGCCATTTCTGTTGCTGTTTCATCACTGAAAGATTTGCTACATTTTCGGGGGTAATGTTCAGGTTTGTGAGACTGATTTGAACACCTGTCTAATGGAAACGTGTTAGGATGTACTTTATGCAAGTCTTTATTCCTGCACGTACGAGCAGGGATCTTTTCTCGATGTTTTCCTCTTATCTGGAAATTCTTATTATTTATTTTATAAATACATTGACAGTTATTCTGAGAGAATGATGTAAAAGTTGTACAGGCACTCCTACTTTTAGCAGCAAGTGTCTCTACATATTTCAAGAATGGCCCTTTACTGTGGATCATTTGCCTCCTTTGTTGCAGTAGACAATGGAGTTCTTTTTTGAAATTATATCAGCCTTTTGTGGCAGGCTTAGTAAACCATTTGGACATAATTTGGCTGACCTCTTAAATTTAGAAAACAATTAAAGATACATGGAAATGTATTTTTAAAGTAATATTTATTATAATTGAATTAAGAGGCATGTCTTCAAACAAAGAATCAGTTCTTGCACGTATGTGTTTGAAAACTCTCTCCTGTTTAGCTTGTGTCCTGGTAGAAATTAAAGACTTATATGTAGCATTTTACAAAAAATACCTTGTATTACTAACCTGACCGAATATTGAGATAAAACAAAAGAGACTGTGAAGAGATGTGAAAAGAAAGAAACCTTTGCCAAAGTTAAAATATTCTGATCAGGTATGTCTAAAACTATAGAAAAGTATTACGTGAGAAACTATTTCCTGAATCCATTCAGTTTTGTTAGGTTGTTCTAACTATAGATTTAATCTCGTTTTTTCCATGTGCCATCCTGAAAGTGAGTGAGTGAGTTGCTCTTTGACATTGACCTGGCCGATGACACACTGTGTAAAGACTCACCAGTTTCTCTGATACAAAATGAGTCTTAAGGAAATTTGTAAATGCTTGCAAGCGAATATTGTGATGTTAATGACTGAAAATTTATTCATAGGACTTCTTGGGTTTGTTTCCATGCCTTGCCTTTTCTGGCAATGCAGTCTTCTTCCTATTTTATTTTTTTAGGGGAGGGGACTGTTTATAAGATGATTTCACTTGATAATCCATCCCTTTTCAAAGATACCTGAGAAGAAAACGAACAACATATTTGAGAAATGGCAACCCAGCATTCTAGTCAAGATTTGTTAGATGAGATGGATCCGGCAAGAGTGATGCACAGGAAATTAGTCCTGTCTCCCTCCTGCAGTACGTATGACTAGGATAAACAGGAAGTTAAGGCTGAGCTTACCGAATAAGCTCAAAATCTTTGATGCTCTTGTGAAGTTTTACCTCTCTTCCTTCTTTAATGAGTTGTTCTACCCAGTTATGTAAAATGCAGTGTTATGCTGAGTGTCTGTGGCATTTTTTACATGGAGGAGAAACAGAACTGTTCACTCAGGTATAGATAGATAAAAATCTCTTCACTGTCCATTTTAGAATTGAATTATTCTACCCTTTGTATTTTCATGGACATTTCAGGCTTTAAACTAAGGAAAAGGCGCATCACTAATGAGCCTACAGGAGGAACAGGAAACTGCCCTCACCTGCTGGAAGCCATCCCATGTGAAGAGCCCTCCTGCTATGACTGGAGAATCATGGGGCTGGAGGAGTGCATTCCCGACAATGAGAAACCGTGTGGCCCTGGTACGCAGGTTCCTGTTGTTGTCTGCATCAACAGTGATGGTAAGATGCTTTTTTGCCACAGTCCACACCAACTAGAGTGAAGATGCTAAAATGTAGTCCAAAAGGGTAGCAGTTTTTGTTGTTCTGAGCCTTCTCAATACTCAGACCAAGCCTGTCTGGAATAGAGAGAAATGTCCTTTAATATTGGTTAGGAAGGATAGGCCCTCTAATTGTTCTAGGATCGAGCTCCTTCACCTACACACAGTAGGTTTTCAAAGATTCCTGAAGAGACATTGACAAAAATAAATAGAAAACGGCTATTGTTTTTCAGTAGGTTACTCATGCCTGCAACGACTTGACTGAATTCTCTGATGTAATCCCACTAACAAAGCTGATTCTCTGAGTCCAGAACCAAATAAAGTGTAAGTAAGCTAAGGCATATTGCAGTAAGTATAGCTGGAAGAAAAATAATAATGTGTTTATTAAAAAGCATGGTTTGATGTGTTACGGAGTTGATTTGACGGTCCGAGCTGCCTTGCTTCTTCAAAAGGTCAAAAAAAATACCACCATTATTCAATTATTCTTCGTGAGAGAAAACAGATTTTCCATGACATAGTCATAAAAGCCAATTTTGAAAGCTGCTTACAAACTACTTTAATCTGTGGAAGATTCATGAATTACTGTTGTGAGAATATTCCTTATTCATTAGTAATATTATAGTCTAGAGCAGCATATAAATTAAAATAATTGTACTAACTACAGGGTAGTTATGGTAAGAGACTTCTAACTCCCCATAGTGGATTAAGAGGATATTTCTGATGAGTGTTTAACAGCTGCACAAAATATTTTGTAATTAAATTGGTCAGAAGTAATAAGAACTGATTATAGAGAGATTTAAATCTTGAGCTTTCATGCTCAAGAGTTTGGGTCATAATTGAATTTTGGGGCTTAAATTGAAAACATTAGAGTGTAAGCTTTATTTTTCTGCATACACCTAAGAGAACTGGTAACTGTTTTTACAGCTCAGAAAGAGATTAGCCTAGAATTACAATATTGAACCTACTACATTTTATGTCCCTATCTCAAAAAATTTCCCTTCACAATGTAATAATTTCTTGGCAACAATACTGAAACTATTTGAGATTTTGTTTGTATACATTTTCAGATGAAAAATGGCCTTTTTCTCATAAATGAAATTGTTTCCTAAATAATTTGGAATTTTTCTTTTTTTATTGATAGCAAAAAAAAAATCTGTAAAGCTGAAGAAAGTGTATTTTTTTTCTTTACTAGATTTTTGATAGTTTGGCTTATCTTTCATTTTGAGGAGTAGTATTTGCTTACATGTCTAACTTCTGATTAACCTAATTTCTTACTAAATGATAATATAGACATTTATATTGACTATAATTTATTGTGACCATAATTCATTTGGAGCATGCAATAGAGCTACTAAACTTTGAGATATCTTTTATGTATATGTGTTTTTCTGTTGTTCTATTTCAAACTCACAGGATTTGCTCTCTGAACTGCATGGGCTTTGGTTTTGGCCAAATTTGACTTGGAAGACTTGTGATTAACTTTTTTACTCTGAGTATTAGTCTCTGTGTTTCTGTCTTTCTGAATTATATGGTGTTGTATATTACTGTAATTGTATGGCATTATACATTACCTACATCAGCAATCTGTCCCAGAAGGAGTGAGAAGTCAGGCTTTGGCCATGTGCCTGTCAGTCTTTAAGATTAAAGAGTTGCGGGCACAGCTTCAAAGAAAGGAGAAAACAAATTGCAATTATGGTTTGTTTTGCGAAGGTCCAATCACCCACAAAGATATGTGTTCAATATCTTTTGACATAGTGCAAAAGCAATGGAGAGTAATGTGGTGGATTGCCTCAGCTCTTCCTTGAAATCCCTTACTTCTCTTAATGAACAATCTTCTGTGATCTTCACCAGTAATACCAAGTGGCTTTGGCTGAGGTGTCTCCTGAGAAAGATTAGCATAATACAGTAGAAGCAAAGTATGAAGTAAGGACCCACCAACCTCAGTAGTCTCTCCCTCCAAGTTAACTCTGCTCAAGCATCTCCTTACTTTGCCTCCCACAGCACCAACCCACTGAAAATCCTGTAGGCAACTCTTCAGTGCTCCTTTGAACACACACCGCCACCTCTTCCTGGGTAGCTCCCATCTAGTACTTTGGTCTCCTACCCTTGCACAGGATACTCCTGGTATCCTTCTTCACCAAACACTTGTTGCAGGCATCCAGATTCTGCTCTGGAAAATCTCAAAATCTAGGAGAGCAGCAGCTTGCAATCAGGCAGGTTTTGCTTCAAGCCCCACAACTGCAAGGTAGTTTGCAGTAAAATAAAGTTTGGAGAATGCTATTCTTCCATTGTCTAAACGTCATGGTTTAAATTAATAATCATACGAAATTTGTCATATTCAATGTTCTTTGAGCACTTCTTGGAGAAGACTACATTGACTGTCAGTTAAAGACTGTGGTTTGATTAATGGGATACATAATTTGTATAATAATCATGTGTTGTTGTAATTTTGATCTAAATTTGTGAATTAATGAGCCAATATTAAACTAGTGCCTGGATAGAAGAGCTTGGATCAAAGGGACTTAAGTGTGTTTAAACAAAAGTGTATTTTCCCCTTGGCTTCTGCTTTATAAAATGACAAAGGCTGGCATTGTAATTTTCAGAATAAGCATTGTACTGTAAATGTACTGCATTAACGTAAGATAAACCCAACACTGATGAGTATCTTCTCTTTCTGTGGGCTGTTGCATCATTCTATATGTTTAAAGCATAATTAGTTGGGATAACATGTCTTGACCTGGGTGTTTTACTTCACAATTACAGTCAAGTAGCAGTGTTTGTGAGATCATTTTATATAACTGGAATGAGCTTCTCTCTTCAATTTGGTGTAAAGATAAGAGTCATTACAGCCTTTGAGACAATAGCAAACAATAGATTATTCTCCTGCATTGTTGCTGGAGGCCTGTGATTGTCATTCTCTTTCCACGGCAGATTGCAGTAATCAGAATTTTCATTCAGGCTGAAAAAAATATGACAGTCAGTACCCCAGGTTGTCATTGCAGAGGCTATAATGAACTTTGATATATTTTATTATATAAATGGACCTTCAGCCTTTTACTGTGGAAAGAACTGTTTTGGAATAAATATTCTTAGTCAGTCTTGCAGGAGCTTTTACAAAGGAGATCCTTTGGGTGAAAAAAAACTCCTTTCGGTTGTGGAAACTCCAAGATTGGACAAAAGCTGATCAGAATTCCTCCATTATATACATTATTTTAATAATTAGAGATCTGTGGCTAATGTTCCATCATGCAGATTAACTTTTGCTAATGACAGAATTACTTTTTAAAAATAAATTCTAATTAATCTGTTTATATATATGTAATATATATAAGGCATACTTGCATGCATGCACACACAGAGGTTATGTATATATAATCTATTATTAAGTTCTTTAACAAAATTCAGAAGAGTGATTTTACAACAGATGAATTTGCTCTATTTCTCCGTAGATATGGCAATCTATGAAGAATACCATTTCAAAAATATTTCTGTATTTAAAGACTCAGTCTATAGTAGGAAAGCTGGCCACTTCTCCACTCTGTAACAGATACATTAGCACTACTCATATGTAAATAGGGCAAATAATTTCTGACATAAAAATGTGCAAAATTAACTACTGCTGAAAATGCCTACAAAATGCTGCTTCATTCATTATGGGTTTTTAGTTTTTTATCTTTGTCCTGAACTCTGTAGCACAGGTACCAGTAGTGGTTGTGGTGTCAGTAGTGTGCTGCTGATTCTCAGACAGTAGGCTGAAATTACCTGTTCATTTTGTAGGATTGTGTAAATAATAAATTACTTTACAGCCTTTGTAATACACTAGGCTTTGTACCACTGCATGTGTTACTGTGGATAAAACAGATCTCAGTTTTGAAGGGCAAACTTCTTCCAGACCTTGTTTAAGCTCACTGATTGTTGGGTTACAGTTAGCTCCACAGAGGAAAGGAATGGACTTATTGCCGTCTCCTGCCTCACAGCTGTGAGAGATGACTACCCTTAGAAGAGGGAGCCATGGCAACAGCAAAGCTGTTCATGTATATGCAAATTGTTGCAACTCTTTGAAGTAGCAAAATTGTTCCTGAAGTTGTCGAGGCAGAGATGTGTGCTGATGTAGCTGAGTACCACAAGTTCTGTTCTGGCACCTGGATGTACATGGGTGACACAGGTCTGGTCTTCCTGAGACTGGAGCGCAAATTCAAACCACTGGTGACATCAGTATGTCCTGATGTAAACTGGTGGGCTGTACCCTATTTGCAGTATTGAGGGGGCAAAACAATGGGGTTGGTAGTTAATTAAAAGATATAGAAGGTAAACTGATCTGTTTTGTTAAGACACTCAGGTGTAAACATTTCAAACCAATTAGTTTAGCTGCTTTGTATGGAGTGGCTCAAACACTATACTCTCCAAAATGGAACAGTGTACATTTCCCTTATCTGTGTTTATTCTCAGCGAGTGTAACTGACTGAAGACAGCATACTTCACCTATATGACAATCCTATAGGATTTATTTGCTTTACTGTTTTTCTCTAGACTTAGAAATATTTATTTCTGAAATTTCATGCATACCTTTTAATGAATTTTACTTTGCAGAAAATCCTATCAGATTTCTTCATGTAGTTTAGATTTTCTTCTGTAGTTTCCTGATCAACATCTGTATTTTTATTCTTAATTTTTAGCTTGTGGCTTTATATCTTCTTACAGTAGGCACCTAATTAAATATATAGAATCAACTTCAGGCAAAACAGAAGGTTGGCTGGTGCAACTATTTCCACTTGAAATATTTTGGCTGGTTTAAAAATTAGCTCTTTCTTTATATTTGTGGTTTAAATCAAATATATGCTAAATGTGTAGCTGCTGGTCTTCATTAATTTTCGTGATGGAAAACAAGAAGACAATCAATGGAAGCTTTATAGGTGTGCCCAGGTATAAAGAGTCTACTTCTTCTGCCCTTTCTATTGTGTG